TCAATATTAATGAGGGTTTGGTAGATTGGTTGAAAAATCGTTCATCTGAGAACAGTTTTGAGGGGACTTCTAAGCCATTCTCCACATCAACTTCCGAAATATTCAATCCCAAATTAGCACTGATTCAACAAGTGCATGAAATGGTCTACATTCAGTAGGAAATAAATTTTTGCAAACTTTCAGGATGGGCCTTAGGCTGTATGGCACCAATTTGTGAGGGTAACACCCAGAATAAGTTAATCGATTGTGACGGTGGTTTCTGTGGTTATTACAAAAGTCAACGGTAAAACTTCTCAGAAATTTTGTCTGATTTAGGAAATCGAACGATAAGAAAATTTTAATGCATCATTCAGCTTCNCCCATCTAGGCTCTCTCAGCCGATTTATGGCTTGAAAAAAATTGAGATTTTAGAGCGAACGGTGAGTTGGTTGAAGGTGTCGATGTGGAGTGCTCACCGCAATCGGATGTTTTCGCACCGTTCGATGGTGAACTGTATTTCTGGCGACCATTCGGCAATCGAGCGGATCACCAATGTGCCGATGAAGGGGTTCGTATTGAGGGTACAGGTCAATGGCAAGGTCACTACCATTCACATTCGTTGACTACTTTCAAATTATTCCCTTGACATCTTTTCAGCTTCCAGCAGCGAAAGTCATCACATGATACCTAGTTCAGTTCCATTTTTTCCTCACAATGAGGAAATACGAATTATTTTTATAATTGAATATAGGAAAATCATATTTGTTGCAAGAAATATCCTTTTTTTGAAACTGGAGCAAGTTTTCCAACTATTTTCCTCTCTATTCAAACAACAACCTAGCAATGAAATCAGCATATTGCGTCGATTGATCATATGTGGCTCCAATTTTCCACATATCTACCCTATGATCTCGAACTGGAATCTGGACTGCTTTTCCAGGTTATCACGTTCATATTTCGTCGATAGCATTGGATTTATACGGAGGCAAAGTGCGGAAAGGTGAAAAAATTGGCACCGCAAAAGACCGACGCTGTGTTGATGGTATTGACGGAGATCCGTATCTGAGATTCCAACTTTACAACAAGGGACGTGCCATCGATCCCACCTATCATCTTCAAGAATGTATGTGCACTGGGCAAATTTGTGAATCGAACCGACACAACCATCTCTTGGGACCACCGTTTAAACATGACAGGTACATGCCAGACACAGCGTTTCTACGATATTCAAAATTGCCTGATGATCCGCTCATTGTCAAATAGTTGCTATGAACTTCATGACTAGATGAGACAAAGCTCGTTTAGCAGCTAATGACTAAACATCATAATCAGATGATCAGAGCTCTCATTTTGCATCACACTGTAGTCATTGCTTTCAGCAGATACAATGGTGTTCGTGGTTGGGATATTAAATGTCCAATGGTCAGCGATGAAGGTGAAGAGGTATTCTGTCCATATCATTTCTAGTTTCTCAATTTCAGAATTGGATTGATTGAGCAACTTTTTGTTCCTTATTGAGGCAGAGGAAATTTGGTCAAGAAATGAAAAAAATTAAGCAATTCATAAGTTTTAAATTCATAAGACTCGCAATGCAATGGTGAGGTGCAAAATAGCCTTTATTTCGGAGATTGTTTGGTTCCTGGTTGGGGGACATATTCAAAGCTCTTTATGCTTGTCAAAACAACGAGATATATTCCGAATTAAATAGATTCGCTATGATTAGTGATGGGTCCATAATGCATTGAGTATTCAGGAACTTCGGGTGCCAGATATCGCGACAAGGTTATTGGACGTCAACGTGTTGTACAAGGTGAACCGATTGCGACACGTCTTGACTGCGAGAACTCACCAGATTCTATTTTTATGGAGGTTTGTAACTCGGAGAATTTCTGAGCTTTCTTCTCAAAGATTATTTCGTTCACAACTATAGTACATTTCAGTTGTAGTGCTGAAGCGTTAGGACGTATTGAATTTTAATCGTTTCATTTGATCAACTGCAAAAAACCTTCAAAATTGTCCAATCGAAACTCAAAAGGGCTTTAAAAAGACTTCCAAGGATCAGTTTTCAGGTACGCTATCGAGGTGATGTGGTGAATATATCGGATATGATTTCGGGAAGTTCTTGCAAGAAACCTGATTTCCCACCGCACTGAGGCCTGACTGCGGTAAAATGTATCTATACGCGCTATGAGATGAATCAATAAATGTTTTGAATTTTTCCTTGATCCAGTTTATGCATTCGTGAATTGATACTAATGATCATTTGTCTATTCGCATATTTACTATTATATCGTATCAGTTGTATTATTAACATTAGCATTGTTGACAACATCGTTTTTATTATAGCGATTCTCATTCTGAATATCATTACTGCCATTGTAATAATCATTATTATCTCCGTTACTGTTGTATTTACCATTATCATTACTATTATTGCATGAAGCCTTTCACGATCATAAGCCTAGTGCGNAGGAACTTTCAACAGAATATGTGGAAGAATGACTGAACAATATCGTTTTACATTACGCATTCAACAAAATTCTACTCCAAACTTTCAACTTTATCGTAGTATTGAAATAATTTTGAAATTGTTTCGTATTCACAAGAAAATTTCTCAATAAATACTTATATGTATTTAACGCATTCTATCTGCAAATAGATATAATGCTTTTTTACTGCATTGAATTGTTGCATAAAATTCAATTGTATATAATCAGTGTTTTTTCACTTTCAACATCGCAAAAACATGAAAATTGTGTTCACTGCATTCAATTGTTATTGGAACCTCTAATAAGAGAAATGAAAAAGATTTTATACCACTTATTTGATGAACATTTCCGTATCCATTCAACCGCTTCAAACAAATGAAAATGATCAGTTTTCAAGCAATTCCGTTCGAAAAATAAACGATTTCATTGCGCTGATGGAATTACATAAGCTGAAGTGATATGCAACCGATAAAAGTATTGCTGCTCGAATGGGAACAAATAGGAAAATGCAATGAAGAAGTCAAGAAATTCGTGCAAAATGCAAGATAAAGAAAGAATTTTCACTCAGTTTTCAAGTTTCCCGTGCAAACTTTTCGGAGTATTAACTGATCAAAAATCGAAAAGCGACGAGAAAAATTTTGTGTTTTCTTGTTCTCTCACGTCAATGCTCAATGAGTGATGTGATTTGAGCGAAGGAAACATTTGTTGTGCAGAAGAAAATCACACGATTGAATCTTTTCGAAATGCACGATGATGCATGTGTTTAGCGTTTACTTGTCCACTTTTTATCCCTCACTAGAATTATCCACTCGGAAAAATGTTCGATGCTCACATCAGAACGCTCAAATCCTCAATCGAAATTCAATTGGTGCTCTTCATATGAGCATCTTCCTTGCTGCTTTCACATATTTCTATCTTCACATTATTCTTTTCTCCGTTTTTACTTTGGTTCGCTTGAAAGATACAATGTAAAAATTTGATAAATGTGGTCAGGGCAGAACACGATTTACCTCCGAGAGGTTTTTGATGAATTTCTTTCATTTTTGTTGATATGATGGTTAAGTGGCCTTCGATTTGTCTCCTTCAATTTTCACTGTAAAACTCTGATTGATAACAGTAATCGTTAATTTAATGCGTTTTCAGATGGATGTTCTTAGCCGAATTGGTATTCGATAAATCACTGGTGATATATTCAGTTTATAATGAAGTTTTTCGTTAATGTGTGCGATTTCGAAATCCAGTGCATTCGACTTATTCAGATGGGTTTTGCGATTAACACGAGTAGATTGGTTTCGGTGGATGAGAATCCTGACAATGAGTTTGGATCTGACACTTCAAAGACTTGGAATTCCTGATATCCGGCTTTGCTTCTATTCCAAGAGTTTTACCAGTTGTAGCTGCTCTCTAGCTGCTCGCTTCAGCTGATCATCCTATGAATTCCTCCAAAATGTCTCGACAACTTAATGGCATGAGATTTATGATCTGCACATGAATGTCCTGATAATTCTGGGTAGTGAGTGACATAGTGCTGAGATAAGGATCAAAAATCTGGGATTTTTCATCTCTTTGAATCCGGAAATTTCAACCTCTTTCGTTTACAAATTTCCATTGATTCATATCAAGGAACCAGTCTGTCAACATTCCGTGTGCTCTGTTTACCATTACTTCTTTTTCTTTTCGAGTGTGTCATCTCGATGCAGTGAATCTTCCAACTTATACATGCAAACCATCGAAATGGTACGATAATTCCAATGCTATCCATTGATATAGCACAGTTTTCTACTATCTATTGTGCAATCCAACAGATTTATATGACAGACCACATTTTCATTCAGTTTCAGTTCGTTCAGCGATGTATAATCGACTTTCTTTCGGTGAATCTCTATTGGGAAACAAAGTTTATCCGAATTTGATGTATCTGACATTGACACCTGTGACGATACTCCCATGAAATTCCATATGCTTCACACAATTGAAATCCACGTATTGTTGATGTTTAATCATCGAATTGCATCCCTTTTCACATATAATTATTCACATATAATTAGCATTGCTAATCTCGCAAATTTATTAGCCACTAT